CAGATCGCCTGGAGCTGCGCGAAGGCCAAGGCCCAGGCCGCCACGGCGGCCAGCAGACCCAGCGCCAAGGCGCGCAGGAGCTTCCGCATCTGCTGCTCCTCCCGGTTCGAGCCGCTTCCCGTTGCGCTCGAGCCGCGGAAAGCCGACGGATGGCGGGGGGGATGGGCTTCAATATTGCTTTTGCTTGCCGGTGCGTCGCTTTGACACATGCCGTTCGAAACATGGAAACAAGAACTGGGCTTCAATACAGGCAGGTCTCAAAGAAAAGCCCTCTGCTTTGCATCAATGGGGTGCAAAGAACGAGGACCAAGCCAACTGTTGTTCAAGCCTTGTCGCAGATGTGCTTTACATTTTACGCAAAACCGCAAGGTAAGCGTCATGGAAAAAGTGGAGAAGCAAAGCCGTGACCAAGCGTTACCAAGCGTTACCAGCAAGTGAGAAGACAGCAGGAACACCAAGGGCAAACCATCTCATGAGGGGAGGATAGCATCTCGACCATGAACCTTAAAAGCCGCTCGTGGTTTACATCCGCCTCACATTTCGCTGGCATCCACGTGCCGTTGATCAAAAGTCCCTTTACCCGAGATGACCATTAGGGAAGCCACCAAAAAGGATGACTAAATCACCGCTACCATCGCGATTTGTTTGGTTTGGTCTTCTCTTTGAGACACAGCCCATACAGATCACCAGTTCAAGGGGTCCCCTTTGAGAGTTTTGTTTTGTCGCCCATACGGATCACCTTTTTTTTGGGTCAACAATTTGGGGGGGCCTTGACTTGGCAGCTTCGCTTGGCTACCCAGACATGCTAGCCGGTTGGCAATATGTGGCTCAATTGAAACGAGCCGATGTGCGCAACTGCTGCTTGGGCTCGATGCTCGTTGAAGGTAATTTCCGGAAAACACACGCGCAACTGCAACATTGATGTTTTGGCAGGATCTGCAAAGTCAGAGCTTATTGCAAGAGTGCTTTGTGGAACAGGTGCAAAGCCCTTTTTCATACTCATGCTCGCCTGTTCAGTGTTGACCTATCCCACGACGGCACTCGGCACTCGATAGACGCGATCGATTCGAGCCGCTCCTCCTCGGGATGCTCGAAGATGCGATACTCCTCTGGAGGAAGCCTCAAAGCTCCCACCTCGCCAGTTGCTTTGGGTGGTTTGAACCAACTTGTAATGGCCAGAGGGGCGCCTTCGCGACCTGGTTGAACCCAAAGGCCGTGTGGTTGTGAGCACATCATCTGAATGTTCATTCTTCACCCAAAAATAAGGCTCCCTCGGAAAGGAACCTTCACACACACACACACACGTGACGTCGCAAGCCCCCGAAAAGTGACGTCGAAACAATGTTGTCTTGTAACAATTTCTTGGGGTGTGTCTCAAACTTGCTAAACATACTGTGGATGTACATAATCCTGCACTACCTAACAAACCCTGGTTTCTGATTCGATTCCCCTGTACATACCGCAACAAACATTATGGTTTCAACCATGGTGACTCATTTCGTGCGAAGGGATTTCGCAACCATCCCAGTGCTTCCAGTTACCACTATAGTAGGTATATATGGCTGTTGGTCAAAAATGGGTACCCAAAATGGAACCCTGGCAAATGGAACCCAGGATTAAACCTGGGGTCCCCTGATGCTTTAACTTTGACCCACACCCATATTACATGAGGGTTTCATTTGGTTGCACAGTATGCACAGAACAGCGAAGCGAAATTTTGCGCCACCCTGGGGGGGTCTTTTTGCCGAAAGTTGGCGACCCCCCAGGAATGCTTCACTACAAGGGGGTCGATCACTTTTTTCCACCCCTTTGATGGCAAAAAGACTCCCCTGGACCCAAATGCCCTGCCCAAAAGCCCGCCTGGTAGCGGCAAAGGCTGGGCTCCAGCGTGGGGCACTTGGCCGCCGGGCAGGCCCGGTGGAACTCCGCAGAGGCGTCCTAGCGAGATCAGACGAGTGGATCAGACGAGTGGAAGATCAAGGGGCCTCCCTGTGGCGTTGGTTGTCTTGAGAATGTTTGCTCTTCCTTCCTTGTTTTTGCTTCTTCTTTTTTTGGGGGGGAGGGGAGGAGTAGAGTCTCCAACATCTGGGTTGTTTGTTGCCCAGATTGGTGGGTGTTTGTCTCGTTTATTTCTTTGTTTCTTTCCTGCTTGCGTTTTTTTTTCTTGGGGGGGGGGAGAATCTCCAAAAATCCGTCCAATCGAGGGTTTGGACTGGTGGTTTGGAGGTACCCCCAACAAGAGCCAGGGATTCAAAAACCAAACCACCAATACAAGGCCACCATGTAAGGGTTGCCTCACAAACAAACAAAACGAAGAAACGGCAAGAAGCAACAAGAACTCACTTCCTGCGTGGATTGGCTAAAAAAGCACAACACTTAAATGCAAGTGTACAGTCCAGGAACTCAAATTAAGAGAATGAACAACTTGAGGGAGGTTTGTTGGACTGCAAACCAGGTGAGAAACCATGCAAGAGCAGCCGCCAAACCTGTATCTTGGAGAAGTCTGCCCAGTTGCGGCCAGTGAACTGTGGTGTAAACAGCAGGTTTTGTGGGGTGCATAGTGAGGAATCTAAGCAAGAAACTGACAAAACAATGGTGCCACTGAACAACTGGTCCGTTGCAAGCTCATTCCGTCCTGCCCAGCCCATTGCTTGAGCACCGCCTCCCCGCCGGGGTGGGAGAAATCGCTGAGGTCGTAGACCACCCCGTCGATGGCCAGCCTGCGACGTTTGGATCCCAGGCGTTTCGCCCGCTTTTGCGGCGGTGGAAGGGCTCCCCCACCGTGGGTGTTTTTTACCACTCAATGGGTTCTTCCCCTCACCATTTTGGCATTATCCCAGATCCCAGTTTACCCATGTAGTAGGCAACCAGCCATTGTTGCTTTGGATTTTGCAGGGTGGGTCCCCTGGCTACCACCAGAGAAATGGAATCACTGGGAAGGATGAACTTTAATGGAGTAACCAAGGGGGCAAGGATGAAAAGCATTTGGAGTTGGGAATAGTATTGTGTCAAAGGGATACCGAAAGGAAAGGATAGCCTGCCATGTTTGGGGAGGTTCCTTTTGGTCGCGAACCAATTTCGCTGACGCCAAGACTCGGTTGCTGTTGACCCCTCTGCAAAAAGTTGTTGTTATTTTGCGAGAATATGGAAATTCCGACCTGTTGCAACCGAACGGTTCAAATCGCCATAAAGAAGACCTTGTTCCCTACCCAAAAAGACCCATGAACCGTGGTGCGCGAGATGCAGGGAAGGAGAAACGGAATGACCCGAAGAAAACCCCTCCAACTGGCAGGTTCCCTTTTTCGGGGACCCCCGGGCTTGGGCTCATTCAACCACATTCCCTATCGCCCCAGCCAGTTTTTTCTTGGGGGGGCCACCTCTTGGAGAGCTTTCCAGATCCTTTGTTTGGGGGGGGGGGGGAGGGGGTGCAGTGGACACTCCTGCGCCATTTTACGGTTAACATTCCCCTATGAATCGTTCTATCTACTACTATCTATCTATATATCGTTCTATCTCTCTCTCTATCTATCTACTTACCTACCCACCTATCTCTCTCTCTCCCTCTCTCTATCCCTCTCTCTGTCTCTCTATCCATCTATCTATCTACATATCTATCTATCTACTTACCTATCTATTTATCTGTCTATCTATTTATCTATCTGCGTCGCATGTTTAACAGCTATACTGTCCGGCAGTGTTGAACGTACGGGGGGGACCACTTTGAGAACTTTGCAGATCCATTTTAGGGGGGGAGGGGGGACCGCTTTGAGAACTGTCTGGGGGGGGGGGGGGGGGCATTTTTTCGGGGGGCCCCTTGGAAGACCATTGTTGGGGGGAAACCCCTTGCACCCACCTTTTTTTTTGGGCGGATCGATCCACGTGGACCGATTGATTCGATCCCAGGCGCCACAGGCCCGCGGCGCTGCGCAGCTCCGCCACCTCCACTTCCCGCAGAGGTTTGGCCGACACGTCCAGCGGGGCGCTTCCCTTGCCTGGCAAGCACGGTGCATCGCCCAATCCCCCGGCCAGAAATCCCTTGAACACATGCGCCCCAAGGGCAACTCGCCATAACTCGCCAAGGTGGGCAAAAAGTGATAGGTTTGTTTCAAACCAAAAGGAAAAGATACCCCAAAATCCTCAGTTGTCCTTTGATGTCCCTTTAAAGCAACCCAAAAGGTTGCATTTTAACCGCTTCGATCATCCTTTTCAGGACTTCACAACCCTTGCTATGGATCTGTGCTTCTTTGCAGCCCCCTGCCAATAATGAACAGAACCGAAAACCGTGCCAAGAACAGTGAAGAGGACTTTCCAGTCCACCTTGCTACCATCTCTTAACTCGGTAGCTTTCCGCTCCCCGGCCAAAAGTTCAACTTTTAGTGGGTTTAGTGGAAAACCCATTGGTTGGCAAAAAGCTAAAGTCCTAACATCCAATAAACATGCAACAAAGTTATCAGATCTTGGTCCCCCATTTTGACACCCTGGACCTACCCTCATTGATTCTTTGGAGCTATTCTCCCGACCGACCATAACGACAAGTGAAGAACCTCCTTGTAGGCCAGTGCAATCACAGGTCACACCGTCAAACCGGAGCCACGGCATGTTAAGCTGCTTGGATCTCGAATTATTGTTTTGCCTCTTTCAATCTCTTTCGGACGCAAAACAGCAAGGCTCCATCCCCCTTCAAAACTTCATTTCTGCCGGCCAGTGCCCGTGCATTCCCATTTGGGGGGGGATGTTTGAAGGCGCTGTACTGGGCTAGATCTCAAAGGAAGCTACGGTCACTGGTCCCCAAGGTTGCAACCTGGTGGCTTGAAACTCCCACTTTTGGATGTGATCTGTGGGCTGACCATGTAAAACTCAACAATTGGTGGCCGCAAGTGTGACCCACCTGGCGGATCTGCTTCAGTGCCTTTTCCGGCAGATCTTTGCAGCGAAGGTTGAATCTGAAGGTTCGTGCGAGCCTCACGCGCACCAAAACGCCCTGAGATTTGGGCCTAAAGGTGCATGCTTGCATTGAAGATTTATGGGGACCGCAGCATACACGTTGTTCGGTTATATACAATATGCACAATGTAGTAATGAAAATGGCCCTAAAACATTCTGGCTTTGCCGACTTATCGACTCATGCGCAAATGCACCAATGCTTGCAGGGGGAGCGATCACTTCGCAAAATTATTGGCTCAAAATGCTCAAATCTCAAACTTCAAACCTGTTGCTTCCTCACTGGTGCGCCACATCATTTCCATGGCCTTGGGATCTGTCTCATAGGCCCTCGGAGGGTTGGGCACCGCAGGGCCCTTCGTTCCGTTGTTCTTCGGCCCGTAGAGGACACCGCTCTTGGCATCCGGGTGCATCATGCCCAGGAGGATGCCCATGGTTCCGTCCTCGGCGGACTGAATCATATAGGGCAGCAAGCAAGAAAGGCAACATCCGGCGCAGCAACTGTCAAACTCTACGCCCCCGGAGAGGTTGGTATCAGAGCCACCTGGGTGGGCACAAACTGAGCGGATGGGGATTTTCTTGGCTTCCAACTTCTCGAAAAGGGCATAGGTAAAGACAGAGTTGGCCAACTTGGACTGGAAGTAGCGCCAGAAGTTCGCGCCAGCCATGATCTTCACTGAGTTTCCACCAAGATTGCCGCCGTTCTTCCCAAAGTACTTCTCCTCCAAGCCTTTGTTCTGGGTATGGTCGCGGCCCATTGAAGAATGGTTCACGATGCGTGCATCGCCTGCGTCGTTCGCCTCAGCCTCAAGCAAAGGGAAGAGCTCTGCAGTGAGCAGGAAGTGCGACAAATGGTTGGTCTGCATCTGCGTGTCGTAACCATCCACCGTGGCCTCATCTGGCGAGGCCATGATCCCAGCATTGTTGCAGAGACAGTAGATCTGACACTTGGCCCTTGATCTCCCCGCTCGCCTGGCGGACTGCCGCGAAGTTCAGATCACATTCGATGGTCACGAGCTTCCCCTTGGGCACGGCTTTCAGGCGCTGCAAGGAAGCTTCCACACGAGACTTGCGGTTCAGAAGTCGCACCTCACCTCCGAGCTCCGCCATCCGGGCCGCCACAAAGCCCGAGCCCGAGGTCGGGGGCACCGTGATCACGGAGACTTTCCCGTCGCGGGGCAACTGCTTCTTGAATCCGTCAAACCACTTCGTCTTCGGAGGCATTGCCCCAAAGAGCTGAGAAGCTAAATCCGTCCAAGCCCGAAGCTGAGGCATTGAGGTACATCTGCGAAACGAAGCCAAGACTCTAGCCACAAAAAAGACACACCCAGCTGGTAGGGGACACCCATCGAAAGTATCAGATCGCTGTGCTTGGGCTCTCAGGCCCACCTTGCAGGCAGTATATAGGTCATCTCTATGTCGTCAAGGCCCTTGAAGATAAGTTTGGTCGAACATCGATGCATTCCATTGCCTTCCGGTTTCCATAATTGGCAATACTATTACCAGCAGCGATGCAAAAGGACACTCTGAGGGCACTGATGCTTGCCGATGCTAGGGCTAACCGCACTTCCCAAGTCTGATTTCGATACCAGTTTTGGGAAGATGCTTGGTGGTCAAAACTCTTCCCAGGTCATGTATATTCGGGCCAATTGAGGAAATATGCACACCCTGCCTCACTTTCTTGTTCTCCATTGTGTCGTGCAGCCATGTCGGCGCCATCGCCGGCAACGGGCCAGTTTCGAATTTGTGGCTTCTCTGGGTTGCCTACCACAGTGGCTCGCCTGCAAGCTCTGGGAGTCTGACATCAATACCGTCAATACCCAACTGAAGTACCCTCAAACCAATTATCATGGAACCCGGCAGAAGGTCCCTTTAAAAGGAAAATGGTCTGCCAGCACCCCCCATGTCACTCGGTTGCTTTCTGCTCCCCTGCTAAAAGTTTTCAACTTTTAGTGGGTTTAATACGGAAAACCCATTGGTTGGCAAAAAGTTAAAGTCCTACCCCTTGGCAGAATGCACCAAGGGTCAGCTTCCATGTCTGTTGGCAAGTAGCACCCTGAGATCACTTCGCCTCTGCCGGCTTCCAGCTCCAGCTCCTGGCCGAAGGAAGAAATCCACGCGAATCTGGGGATTGGTAACCGGACACTTCCATTTGTTTAAGCCCCCTGGGAAAAAAAAGAGACTATGTCCAATAGTGATAGATTCCCTTTAAAACCAACAGGGCAAAATATTGTTTATATTTTGTTTGTTAAAAAAAGAAGAAGAAAAAACAATTGGAAAGAAATCAATGGGGTTTCAGCCATAGCCCACCGCCGCCACGAGACCCAAGAATCCGGAAACAGAAACAGAAACAGAATCCCAAAGCATGTGGAGTGATTCTCTCGACGCCCTATTCATTCTGGCTGACAAACCACCTACCAACGGGTGCGAAGTGGATTTGTCCACAGTATCAAACCCGGTTCGGAGTACCCCTGACGCTTAGTTCGGGCTAACCGAAGAGCAGCCAAAGAGGTCCCAAAGCTAAGAAACCCTAGTTCATAAGGAGGCGATCGGGTACTTAGCAATTGCTTTTTCAGCCCGGCTATAACCCAGTTACACCTTTTATGAGTCCCCTAAGTGGGTTACACCCAGTTTCTAAGCACTTAAGTGCTACAAGGGCCTAAAATAGTTAGAATTGGTTGACAACAATTGAACCAAATTACCTCATGATTATGGATAATGAGGTTAACTTGTTCGCCCTTTCCGTGACTGACGTGAAAAGATCCTTGTGAGTGGCTTCGCCTACCACACTTAACAAAAGGTCAATGAATCTCCTACCGGAGGGGTGCCCGTGGCGAAGGTCAGCTCGGCTGTGAACCAAGACCGTGGCTCCAGCGAGCGCCCGACACCCATTGACTTTGGGTTCACGACGTTTATGAAGACTAGGCCTGTACAAATCTGAAAGAGATTTATATAGGCCTTTGATTCAACCGGGTAGGAAAGTGGGGCTCTGCAGAACTTGCGGGGTAGTTGGGAATCAGCAGGGTTTTGGGAATGAACTCAGTCATATTGGAAACCCAGGATGGCTCGGTCCGGGGTCATTCCAACTCCTTCCTTGCCTATCAAACCAGCAAGCCAAGTAACCATCCGTGTCTCATGTCGGAAAAGCCCCTGTTTGGTTGGTATTTAAACGGGACCAATAGAAGCCTGCTATTTTAGGGATCCTTTTGAGAAAACCCCCCATCAAATTTCAATCGAGTTGTCAAGGGTTCCAACCAGGTTTCCCCCAAGGGTTCCCACGGTACCTGGGTTGGCTTGAAGGAATACAGAAAGGAAACCAGAACCGTTAGTAGTTCCCCTATGTTGAGCAACCCATGTGGACAGTAACAGTTTTTCGGGACCATTTTATGGGACCACAATTTGCCATTGAAACTGGGGGGTTCCAGTAAGGGGAAATGGAGGAACCCCTGGTTTAGGTGAGGGGGGCGATGGTAGATGAGGAAACTACATATCCTTGTGCCGGTTCCAAGGAGAAGGACAGCTTTAGGTGAGGGGGGGCGATGGTCCAGATGCCCCGCCTTTTGTCCGGCTTCATTCCTGGCCGCCTTTTTAGGGTACTTGAAGGGAAAACCACAAGGAACACCACCAAAAGGGTCTTTTACTTGCAGGGAAACCAAAAGGAACACCACCTTGTAGGGTCCTTACGCCCTTCCGGAAACCGGGAGAAAAGGAGGTTCGCCGCTCAACCGGGTTTTACTCCAATCCCAGGCCCGCCTCTGGCAGGAGCAGCGCCCTGGCGCCGTCCAGGCGGCTCCAGGCCTCCAGCAGCGGCAGAGCGGCCGCGCTCCAGGCCGCCCAAAGCCCGCAGCAGCCGTGGAGGAGGCAAGCCTTGGGGCAATTTGCTAAGTAGGCTGTTGCGGGATTTGGCCAGTCGGGGGTGCCAACCTTCCAACTTTTGGGGTGGTTTCGGCTTTTGGTTGCAGGGGTAGCTTTGATGTTGCACCACCCTATGGGGGTTGGCCTGGGGTTGGCCTGTGTCTCCCATTCCTTTAGTAAATGACGGCGTCCCCTCGATGATGGAAGCTGGCAAGTGGCTAGCCCCTCAAGGGATGCTCCTCTCCGATAAGTTCGAGCCTGCGCTGGCAAATGGAACCACTGGTCGCCAGTCACCGCCATAACCCTAGAATAGCCATGGCCTGTCCCATTAGTTTGCCAATAGCCAGAATACATTACAGGTAGTATCTGTCCAACATAAACAAGCCGCAATTGGCAAAATAACGAACTTGAGGGTTGTCGCAAACTTGAAAATTTGGATTCCCCTTGGCTGCCTACTATAATGGCTTGCCTGGAAGCAGTGGGTTAGGCAAGTGCCGAGTTGATTCCCCTTGAGACTTTTCCAAACAGCCGTTTGGGTGTGGTTGGGAACTGTCTGAATTCGGGAACACGCATCTTCCGTGGATTGGCCAAGCGGGTGACAAGATGCTTTCTACCCACCTGTTCCTTGTGGAAACAACAAAACGGTAAGGCTAGCAATTGGCCACAACCGTAAAGGAAAGCCTGTCCAAGTCTCCAAAGCCCAAGCATTTTGGGCTCTCAATGAGCCTCCCAGAAAGAACCAAGCCCAGAAACTGGCTGGAAGTGAGTCAAGCGTGCAACACCAAACACTTCCAGCCAAGTGCGCTTGACGGCCACAAGCTGGGCAACTGAAAGCTACGGGAAAATCCCAAGCAGTACTCAAAGCAGCCACTTTCTTCACTAGTGGCATGGCTTTGGCTAGACCCCGTCAGTGCTAGGCTTGAAGCATGCCGCAATTGGGAAACAAATTGACAGGCCAGCGGGATAAGAAGGGGCGCAGAGCGGATCCGCATCAAAGTTTGGCTGGCAGGTACTTATAAAGGCCCCCCAACAAAAACAACAACAAACAACACAAAACACAAAGAAAAACAAAAGCTCAACAAAATGAGAATTGCCCACCCACCCACCCACCCACCGGAAAAAAAAAGAACAAAAAAGAAAAAGAAGAAAAAAAGCTCAACTCCTTAGAGCAAGTCTCTCGGCACGGTTTTCCAACAACTTGCGCCAAGGCGCCTCCGGAAGGCTGAGGTCTGTCAGGTCCATAGAGGTCAACGCATAGACGTAGAGCGCCACCGGCGCACGCGAGACCTAAAGGCGAGACGAAACGTAGGTGAGTCACAATCAAAACCCGGTATCAACAAGGGCAGTGGGTCAAAAATAGAGATGAGTTGCCCTGGGAAGTGGCAACATGGACCAAAACGTGTAGCTTTGTGGTGGTTTAATTTTGACCACCCAAATGGTTCACCCAGAGCCAGGTCTCAAGAATTACGAAGGCGGATATCCGCAACTGTTTATGCTTGGGATCGTCCCTTACTAAGCTTCATCTACCCGGGTTTTGATTGCGACTCAGGTGTTGTCCGCCTGCGCCGTGGTCTTGTCCATCCAGGCTCACGATGAATGCACTTTGGTGTAGGTTGTGCGCTTTGCGATCCAACTGGTTGTGTTTCTGTTGGCCCGAGAGAGGGAGTGTCCAAGGGAAGCTTATATGGACATGAAGTACTTGTTTTGGGGTGGCTTTTGGAAGGGCAGCCACATGCCAAGCATCGCCTTTTTGGTTGGTTTCCACGGGAAACTCAGAGGACACCACCCCTGCCTTTCAGAGCCAATCCCATGTGTCCCAGCCAAAAGGCCGACAGGGAGAGGTAGAAGGTCGGAAGTCTCAGGCAACTGCTCTGAATCAATTCTAGGAGCCTTTTGAGTTGTGCTAGTGGAGGCACAATCCGGAATCCCTTTGCAATGACTTGGTTTGGTGGTGTATGCACCAGTAAAGTGTGGGTCACAGAATACCATGCATGTTGCCCATCACAAACCGTGTCAACTGCAAGCATCCGGCCACAAGTGGGTGATTTCGCCATGATTGTAGCATCTGCGGCAAGTGCCCACAGGCATCAGGCAGAACTTTGCGTCGAGAGCCACCCTCGACTCTGAATCAATCTTCAGCCATTGCAACCAAGAGACCAAGAAGAAGATGTAAGTAAACCGCCAGTGCTCTGCCACCTGCCAAGTGGCCAGAGGCTTGAGGGTTTGCTTAAGGTCGGTTTAGGGTGGGGTTTAGGGTTGGTTTAGGGTTGGCTTAGGGTGAGTTTCGGGGCAGGTTCGGGTGGGTTTAGGGATGGTTTAGGCTGGATGTGGGTTGGTTTAAGGTTGTGTAAGGATGGAATAAAAGCTTGGTTCCAAGCTTGGTAAGGATCAGCGCATGGCGCCACGTTTAAACATAGATGTTCACGTTCTTCAAAATGTGAAAGGGACCAAGGGACAAGGGGACCAGGAACCAAAGGGCCAGGGGCCAGGACCAAGGAGACCAGCAAACCAGGGGAATTAAAATTAGTTTGTTGATCCCCTGAATGGGATTGTTTTAAATCCCCTAAATACTGTTGTTTGATGGTCATCCCAACTCATCAAGTGGAAACAACTATACTGATTAATGCTCAGGCGGCTGTGAGTCATGCCTCCTTTCAACGATGGTTGGGCTTGGAAGAAAAGCCCAACCTGCTTTCTGGGTTTGATCCACAAGGAAATGAAACGGAGACCAAGGAGGTCCATATGAGACAAACCTCTGCGAATGGCGATTTACCTTCTGCCCCGTGTGACCAGAAAAAAAAAAGAAACGCCCCTTCGAAGACTTGCCTGAACAAGTTGCAAACAACAGGGGGTTCGTTTCCCCCGAATTGGGGCCACCGAAAACCCCACTTCCCCCACCCCTCACGCCCCTCGCCGCTCCATCCGCTCCGCTCGCCTGCGCGCGGTGCCGCAGCCACGTGAGCTCCGCCAGGCGCGCCAAGTCCCGGCGGCTGAGCAGCAGACACGGCAGCTGCGCCCAGAGGAGCCCCAGCCCGAGCCCGGCCAGGCGGCCGCACAGCCTGGGTTGGTTGAAACCCCTCGCACCCGGTTTGACGTGGCCCGGATAGGGGATCAACTACTTTCTTCGGAGGCGGTTTGTCGGATCAACTACTTTCTTCTGCTGTTTTGTGGAGCCTGGAGAAAAAGCCCGTCGCAGCCGGTGGGAGAAAACCGGGGGCCTGGAAAAGGGCTCGGGAAGTCTGGGAGGCGGTTTTTGGTCGGATCAACAGCTGTCTTCTTCTTTTTGTCCTTCTTTTTTTGGGGGGGTATAAGACAAAAACTATGAGGTATCCAGAAAAGTATGACCCCCTAGGATTCATTACGTAGTTTTAGAGCCACTTCACTATGAAACTGGTGAACAAATATCCCGTGCTCCTTAGCAAATGGGAAATGTCTGGCCAAAACATGGGCCTTCCAAACAAATAGGGAACCCCCCTCCAAACCCGAAAATCCCAGATTGAGCTCCACAAGTGTATGGTGTCCGGTAATCAAGCCACAATGTGTGGTCCCTGAATCAAAGAACACCAGGGCTTCATGCCAGGGATGCGCCATGGTTTCATATACTCAGCCTTTGAGCGGAAAAGTGGCGGGCCACAAAAAGATTGCTGAACATAGCCCCTGGCTTCAAAGGCGTGCTTAAGGCCCAATGACAAGCTTGACCAACAGCCTCCCTCCCCCCAGGTTCGAAGTGGCTAGCCTCCTGAACCATGGAAGAAGGAAACCAGTTTTCGCCTTAAGCCCCGCCAAATACGATATCCCAAAGCTTAGCCTATGCTTACTCGAGTCAAGCGGCGGTGAGTCTGGACTCATGGGCCCTGCATGTCCTGTTCTCAGATTCTTCCAGACATCATGTGAAGAAGTCCCTTGACCCCTCCTTCTTCCTGCAGATTTACGTGAAACCGAAAACCGCGTGTTGAAAGGAATCTCTTGGGGGACTCACCCCCTTCGTGGGTTGCCAATTTACTGAGTAGGTACCCGCATGGTCCTTTCGGGGTATGTGAAACCTTGACCCTCAACCCTATCAGCGCACTCGCATTCGACCCAAGTCTAAGGCAGGGAAGAGGACATTTCCAATCTGATCAACCCATGTGGCCATCTTGAGGAGATCGGGAAGGCGACCCTGATGTTGACAACCTGTTTGTTTTACCTGGTTTATGAGCCAAGGAAGGTCGGGGATCCAAAAGACGCAGGTCCCCTAAACCTACCAACCATCGAGGGGCAGCAGCGCTACCATCACCACCAGCACCAGTAGGTGATGCAGCAGCCAGCCTGGAGGGTTGTTAGATCGCACAAACGTGTTGTCGCCCTTTTCGCAGCCATCATTGCCGCTTCCATGTATCATCACGCCTATTGTCATGTATCATCATGTATCAGCACACCCGTTGTCGAGAAACATCTATCAATCAAACATCAAACACAAACATCAAGCTGAGTTCATGGTGAAGGTACTAGAGACTCTGGCATGCGTGGGGGAGGATTAGGCAGTCCCCCTGTGTGCCTCCGAAATGAATCGTGGAAGAATTACCATTACCTGATGTTGTGACCGAGCCTCGTATTTTGATCACAACATACTGCGAAAAGTAACGTAGAGGCAATGGACACATTGTTTGATGATGGGGCGAGGACGCTCAGAGGTCTTTAGGGTCCAGCCTTGGACGAAGAAGACCCCTCACCTCTTGCCTGCGCTGATCGGGAATGCGGTCTCATAAGGAGAATGCATCGAGCAGAAATGGGCGTGTCGCCCCTCCCACACAGGTGAACCTTAGCTTCTCAAAGTCTTGATCTGTTTGTTGTCCATGAATACCCGGCAATACTACCACAAACTGATAGGTAACTCCCGACCCAAAGCCGATACCAAGGTAATTTGTCCGTCGCTTGTACCAAAACTCCGACTTATATTTCCCTGAAGGGGTGCACTGATGAGAGAGGCTGGCCCTTACTGAGGTGTGGGACCCAAGTATTCAGATCACTCACAAGTTCCAGTCAAGTTCACCCGTTTCCCTCAAAACTACCCCAGCCCTTGCCCCAAACGAAAAATAACATGCTTTTCTCAGATTCCGGTCAATAGGCAGTGATCCATGAGAATTCAAAATGATGTCAAAAAAGGTCCCAGTTCGAATGAAAGATGAGGTCAGAGCCTCTCATTCAGAGGGTTTGCAATTACTGAGCACTCTCCGAAACTATGCCCAATTAACCCAGTGCTTCCAAGCAATGCAATCCAGTTTGGCAAGAAGCAAGACTCTTCATGAGTGGTTAGAAACCCTGGTTATAACTTATAGCCCACTTTCCATGGTTGCAAGTCTAAGTGCTTCATTGCCAGGGCTACTCACGGTACATAAACCCCAACAAAAATCCCCCACCACCCCCCCAAAAGCGGCGGCCAAAGTCGAAGCCCGGGCCCAAACAGCCGCGCCTTTTAGCACCAGGAGCGCCGGGTCCCTCACGCCTCCGGAATCCGGGATCCGATGGCTCCGAAACTTCCCGGACCAGCCGATTGGAGTGACCCCAACTAGGACCACGAGGCTTGCCCCGCAACGCCCTCTTGATTCCATGCGAAAAGGCACACGCCCCGTTGATTCATGGGACTCGGACTCTAAGCCAATCACCTGGATGCTCTTGCCACGGCTTCGGGGCAGGCAAAACGTGCTGCTACGAGGAGCGCAGCTGTTTGATAGCTGCACGGGTGTGCTGGTGATTGGAACAGCACGGTGGTGCGGTCTCCAGAGGAAAGGTCGTTCCTCCACCATCATATTCTCCCGAGACGTGCACATATTAGATGGCCCACATCGGAATATCTCCTCGAGTGTCCTTGTCTTGCATATCGAGCCTCCCTACAACGCTCCGGAAAATAGGACCATAAAATCAGCCTTGGAACTGTTTTCAAGGTTGTTGATCTGCTGAAGACAAAGGAAGCTTCAATTATGGGCCCCTCGTTTTGCTCCCTTGGCTCGTTTGACGCACTGTCACTTCTCCTGCAAGGTTCCCAGTGCTTTCGAGAGATTCTCATTGGGATTCATTGCCAATCAATACGACCCAACCTATGGCCGATGGGTGTGTCTCTTTTTTTGGTGTACCCCTTTTCCGAAAACCATGGAGGGTCCGCTAAGAAAAGACAAACCCATATCACCCCAAGGGTATGAATATGTGGGCGTGTCTCTTCTAAGGGTACCCATTTTCGGGTTTAAAGGGAACCCAAAAAGAAACCAACCATGTTCTGGGGTTCCCCCTTTGACACTAACCCAGAAATATACAATCAATCCTTGGTCTAAACCTGAAAACATCCACTCTGTTCTGTGAAAGATGCTGATGTCCACATTGCCCGACTCCTATGATACTGGAAGGCCTTCCCGTGCTTACTTTGCCTCACCATGAAGTTACAAGGAAACGTCTTCCAGGTTGGCCATTCCAAAAGCCTGGGCAAATGGGCCCATGGGGGGCATAGAGTAGAGAGCCCAGGAAAAAGGGGCTGTCAACGTTGTAGGGCATGAAATCCTATGGCAAAAGAAGCAATGCCAGGAGCTAGTGTTGTGCCTCGTAGGGCCGCTCCTTGGCCGAAGCTCCTTGTGGGATGCCACCGTTCGGGCGCCTTCACAACCTTGAAATACAGATAGCCCGTTCCGACAATTGGGACCCACCCACCCACCTTCCCATGTCTGCAAAAAAGAGCTCGTCCTCAAGGGGATCCCTTTATAGGAGCGAATTTCCTGAAAGGAAATACTACAGTTGGAAACGTTCGTCAAATGAGCCCGGCGGAAACATCCTTTTGCTTCCTCCTCATGAACCTCCTCACAACTTCCTCATCATGCACCTCCTCATAACTTCCTCAGCATGAACCTCTTAACCTCCTTGCAACCTCCTCATAACCTTCTCATCACCTCTTCGCAACCTCCTCATCACTTCTTTGACTTTCCGTCAAACCCACTGCAACTTGAAACTTGAAACTTCCTCCACCGCCGAGCGCCCCCCGCCCTCAGCTGCGCGCCTGGCAGGCTCTTGGCGTCGAGGCCGCCGTGCATCCAGTGCCGGCAGGAGAAGTCCTCCCACAGAGCCACCAGGCCTCGCGCCGGTGAACGCAACCCTCGGGGCATTTCTAGGTGCTTGTTGTCTTGTTTAGGATTCGGACCCCAAAAACCTCAGGGCATTTGTAAGTAGATGTGTTTGTTGTCATTTGTTCTTGGGGTTGATGCCTTTTCCATTCTTTTCAACCATCGTTCTTTTCCAAAACCGGATCTGTTTCCGCTCTCCTTTGGGGTTCCTGAGAAAGACCACCCCAAAACAAAATCGCTTCGGCTCTCCTTTCGGGATCCCACGAAAAAAATAAAAACACCAACAACGGGTACCCTCAAAGAAATACACACCCAGCTCGGCAATGCCACCTTGGGTTGCTTGTTGCTGCCATACAAACTTATACTGGTGGTTGGTTTATCCACACCTCTAAACCCCATACCTGAAAATGCATGAAAATGCCCTGCAACCCCTCTCGGGGTTCCCCATAATTCCCCTTACATCGCCTGACTAATTGGGAACCTCTGAACAAACGTCCACTAACATTGTATACTCTACCATTTACCAACAAATGAAACATGAGAGAAATGGCTGTGGGTCAAAAATCGGCTAAGCCCACAATGTGTTGCCCGAATTGGAACCATGGGCTACAACCTGCAGTCCAATTCCTGGCGTCTTGTGGGACTCATACTCACCGGAGCCGAACCGCCCGAGCCGAACTTCAGGTCTTTGGGCCCCCGGGCTGTGGCCCGCCGCCATCCCAAAGAGCAGCTGGTGCTCCCAACTCAGAGTCTCCCACCTCGCACGGTTTTTTGGGAAGGGGTACAGCCTAAATGACTGAAGGTCGCTTTTTGTTCGCTGGAGGGGGGGGCAACAAGGGGGGAGCGGGGGGGGGGACACGGGGTGTGTGGTTTGGTCATCTTGTAGGAACATATTGCGATCCCTCTGCTTTGGTACATACCCATATGAGAAACCAGCATACTACTACGTTGATTGTTAGCTTGCGGAGGACATTCGTGGCCCAGCCAATCGTCACACACAAAACTATCCATTGCCCTCTTCCTCAAAACCAACCTTAAAAAGAGTACCGGGCCTCAACCACAAAGAACACACACGCATGTGTACGTTGTAGGTATAGAGAAAGAGAGAGAGAGAGAGAGAGAGAGAGAGTGAGAGAGCGACTATCTTTTAAACCGTTTACTCCTAAACTAACTGGTCAGTCCCTACCCAGCTTTCGTCTCAATTTTGCCCAAGCGACAGCAGCTGGTCCAATTGCTGCACGCCCAGCGCCAACCTCAGCGCTCCCAGCACGCTGAGCGTCCCATGGAGCTGGGACCGCAAGATGCGCCGCAGGTAGGCGCCCGAATCCCTCGCCTTCCGCGAGCCCCAACCCCCTACGCCACTGGTGTTCTCTCAAGGCCTTGAGGTCCCTTTGCTTTTCTTGAAAAGGCCTTCATGAGGTGGGGTCAGATTCGAAAGTGTGGGGAGTTGAGGGAAGGGGGTTGGAGAATGGTATGAAACGAAGCCAATGCATGTGTGACCGGGCGAATTTGAAAAAATAACCTGGCTTCAGGAGAGGTCCCCCCGAAAGCGTAGGAACTCTCTCAGGTGCCCCTGGATCCAAAGAAGGCTTACCTATACCGGGGGGATTAATTAGGTGTTACTAACCACTTGGCCAACTGGACCACCCAAGTCAGGTTGTACCAACCCCATGTTTGAACAAATCGAACCACCCCATTGTTCAAGCCACCTCATCCTGGCTCCGGGCTCTTTTACCCCAATTTCGCCCCGACCCGACTCCAATCTCCCCCCCCCCCCCTGGCGCGCAGCCGGCCGGCGCCACCGAGACGCGCGCGCGCACGTGCGCGCGCGCCTTGGCGTCCACGTAGCGCCGGATGGCCTGGGCCGGCGCTTGCAGCGCCAGGTTCGCGAGGAGCCAACAGCTCGCCCAGGCGCTCACGGCGAAGGCTGGGCCGCTTTGGTAGGCTACGCTCCTGGGTGATCCGAAAGGAATCCAAGGCGAGGCCAGGGAACCTGACGGTCTTGGGGCTCTGGAAGATTGTTTTTCAAGAGGGACACTCTGGTGTGTTCCATGCTAGTGAACATGGTTTGGGTAAGGGTAGTATCAGTGAACCCCCCTTTAAGGTCTTGCAATTAGGGATACCATCTAGGCAATCTAAGCATGGGCCAGTTGACTCATTGACCCTGCAAGAGCAATCCAAGGCTACCCCTTTCATGTCCCCACTTCAACCCTCAAATGCCCAATCTGCCGACTCCCCCAATGTGGCTATACACCACCTCATGCATACAGGCACGCACAAGTATGTGATATGGATATATATATATATATAATATATATATATATACATACTCCGTATATTATACAAGTCTGTAGGTGCATATACAAATGCATACATGGTCTAGAATTCCCGTATTCTTGATGGGCATATCATTTTGAAGGGACCAAACGTGTCCCTTGGTCTCAGGGATACAGCTTGAGACGCTTCGTTTTCAAAGGCCTTACGAAGGGCTGACTGCATACGCCGGGGTTTGCGTCCAGGATCCACCGCCTTGCCGGCAAAGATGCTGGGAAGCATCGGTTCCAAAGCCACCTGTGAAGGGAAACCAGGTTTCAAAGGCCAGGTGAGCTCGTCGAACATTGCGTGGCTTCAACATGATCAGAGCTAGGCCCAGTTATAGAATGTATATTTTGCAGTTTGCTTCACTTTGAGTCACTGGTAAAATGTAAAATGTTCCTAAGTCCACCCCAGTGAATTCAGACGATTTAAAAACCCCTGCTAACAGATCGATCACCTTGGAGGTGAATTCAGGCCAGGGTCCCACGCGGAGCGGGAACCTGCCCGAAAAGGGGCCCAAAACTGACCCCATTATTACTCAGTTGCGTTTTGCTCCCCTAGAAGCTTAACTTTTAGTGGTTTAATGGAAAACCCATTAGTTGGCAAAAAGTCAGAGTCCAAAGATTATACAGTTGGCCCCTAAGTGGTAGGTTGAATAGCCCGATTTTTCCGACTTTGGAAACGAGCCCATGAGCTCAAAGGAGGCATCTCCTCGCATGATCGATTTGCGGCTTTCGAATTTTCGGCAGCTTCCGTGCCGAGGCGCATGGAACTCATCATGTGCCTCAGCTGGTCAGGTGAACAAAAAGGAACAAACAAGCGAGCGAGCGAACGAACCAATACACCAACAAACTAAGAAGCCACGAAGCCAAGAAGCCAAGAAGCCAAGAAGCCAAGAAGCCAAAAAGCAAGCGAACACGCGAATGGGCTCAAAACCGCGAAAACATGTGAAACACGGGACACGTGCCGGTGGACATGGGATGAAAAGCCGACCCCTGTGGCAGGAATCAACATAATGGCCCCTGTGGTGGGGGGGGGGGATGACGACGATACCCCCCACTCCAATCAAACAAAAGCAATGATTCTTAGGTTTACCACCGCCGAATAACTTGACTTTCAAAAAGGACTCAGTTCAAGTAAAACCTTCTTGCTAAACTACTTACCGACCCATTTGTTTAATCGCCGAATCATTCTCAATTCCCCATTTTACGCACTCCGGAGTCTCATTTGTTGCATGACGCGCCATGCTTCCGTCGGATCCCGGCTTGGTATCTAGAAGGCGATCCAGTCGTTGTATGCCCAGTGTTTCTCATGCACGTTACATTATCTCTGCCTGTCATAAACTGATTCAGAGAAAATCGCGAGCCGGAGCAGTTTTACAAAGCATGCAAAGGGCTTGCAAGGATAGATCAGGCACATGCCAATTCTAGCACTGCAAGAGGGCCTGTCTTTGGTGTTATTCAACTGCTGTTCATGGATGCAAACAGCGGGGGGTCCTATTTGAACAAGACACGACCCTGTTTCAATTTGCCTCTTGATATTTTAGGACATGTGCATGCTGTGATGTCATCATATGTGTTCCCAGTTTTGTTTCATCGCAGTCCATCATGTGTCATCATGTTTCATTGTATTTCGCCAGATGTCAACATGATCTATCTTGTTTCCATTGATTTATCCTACTTCGTGCCACGGTTCAGCGTCCCAAACACATATTTCCTCGCCCAAAAGAAACAAACAACACTAAACCCACAAGTCTGAACAAGTCAACCGGAAATGCTCAGCTTGAGCACATGTTTCAGGCGCCAGGTTGCCTCCAATCTGGTTCATCTTCAAACTGCTTTCCGAACATGTGTGAAAGCTGCTCACAAGCCACGCAGAAAAGCGCCTGCTGTGGCGTTTTCACACAAAAAGTAAGAAACTGAACCCAGAAACAAAGAAACCAAGAAACCATAAGAAACGAAAACAAATCAACAAACAAAGAAAGAAAGAAACAACAAAATTCAAAACAAAGAAACAATAAGAAAGGAAAACAAAGCAAAGAAACAATGCAACAAGCAACAAAGAAGCACAGCAACACAGAAACAGAGAAACACCGCAACAAAGCAACAGAAAAACAAAGAAAAAAATGGGGGAAAACGAAACAAAGCAACAACTAATCAAAGCAACAAAGAAACACCGCAACAAAGAAGCAAAGCAAAGGAAAGAAACAAAGAAACAATCAAGCAAATAAGCAAAGACCAAGAAACAAAGAAACCAAGAAACTAAAAATGCCAGCAACAAAGAAACAAAGAAAACCAGGAACTAAGAAACAAACCAACAAAGAAACAAAGAAAACAAGAAAACAAAGCAGCAGCAAGAAATAAGCCAACAAAAAGCGCCGTCAGGGCGCTCTTGCCCGTTGGCAGGCACACGGACCAGTTGAAGCCCCCACGCGAGGGCCAATCCTGGGCCAGACGGATCCGCGGCAAACAGTGACACGGATCTATGTTGGTCAAAGCCAAAAGCCTAGGGATGAAGTGCGCAGAAACAAAAACAAGTCTCAAAAAAAGGGGCCAGGTTGAGCTTTTGCTTGCACAAAGGGAAACTGCAGGAAATCCAAAGTAATTACCTGGATCGAACTAGATGGGCGCTATTCCCTTCATGTCCGTAAGTAAAGGGGAAGTTGCTTGCCACCTAGGTGCCCTGCCTCCTTGAGTACCCCTGACCACTCCACTTCGTCATTGGTTGATGTCCCCAGTTTAGAGCATAAAAGTGGGTTATTTGTAGGGTTTGTAACCCTGAATATTAACCACCTCAACGTAGGGCGGTCATCCACGTGAGCACCCAAGCTAGCCAAGTGCACCTTAGATGAGTCATAATCAAAACCTGGAGCCAACATAGTCTACCCAAACCAATGCATATTGTTTAGCTGGCGGATACCCGCAGCCATTTCTCATTGAGACTGTCCGTTTCTAACCCTCACTCATATACTCGGGAATCAATTTGGGGTTCCCTACAATTCCCACTCAAAGCATCGTTCATCACCTTTTGGCTGCCAATTTAGAAGTGATCTTCTCTTGGTGAACAAATTCCCGGAACCCCTTGATCAAATTCCGGAACCTTGAACATGTTCCCCTTGAACCAATTCCCCTTGAACACATTCACCCTGAACAAGGTTACAAGCTTTCCCCCCTTGAACAAATTTAAGAAGCTTTCCCCCTGAACCCAACTTTCCCCGGAACCCCCTTCGCTTTTGGGGCCTTCGCCCGTTTGGAAAATCCGCGGAAGGTCTCCCCAGAAACCGCCGAGCGAGTCAAAGCCGGTGCCGTGGGTCCAGGGAGTGGATCACCGCCGCCAGGCGGTCCACCTGCGCCACGGGCCCCTTCTGCAGCGGGGGGTCGCTCAGCCAGCTCTGGACCCCCGACTGGCGCGGGCCGGGCGAAACGCGCCGAGGGCCGGGCAGAGGGCCAAGGGTGGACGGTGGTGAAGGGTTTTGGGGGTTGGGGATGAGGTTTTGGGGGGATGAAGATGGGGGGCATTTCTTTGTTGGGGGGCTTTGTTCCGCCTTTTTTGGGGGGGTGTAGGGAAATTTCAAAGAACAGCCGCACAAGTTGGTTGAGGTGTTGGGATTGTGGGGAGAAGCCGCCAAACAAAAAGGGACAAAGGGTGCCAATGAACAATTCCAGGCCATTGTAAATAAGACCCAACAGGGTACCAAAAAGGAGCTTCCGTTGAATATGTGTTTGTGGAGTTCTAGTCTAATCTGGGGACTGTTGGGTAACGAGTACCTTCAAACTCGCTTCAAATTGCTTCCCGGGCTTGCTGTAACTGGAACTGGGGGGGGGTTAAGTTGGGACTGGAAATCGGATTTGAGTCGCCCGGTTTTGTTTGACGGGTAGGTCGTTGGTCGCCTATAAGCTTGTCGGATGGCCAAAGACAAAAAAATGTGTATGATTATGATACTTATCTGCTATCTATTTCGTTGGGGCGCACAATTTGGAAGAGCAACTGCCAGTCGTCGGAGTCGGCGTGTGAAATTGGGGTCCCCTTTCCGTGCTGCCAGCCTGGCAAGCCCTGACTACTCGCTTGGATCCGCTTTGGGAGCTGCCCCACTTTGAGACCAACCCGTATTTCCCCCTTGCACATCACAAGGAAACTCACCTCAAAGAAGTACAAACCACCAGACCCAATCCCCCTGGTTTTCCTTGGAAACAGAGGCCCAACCTAAAGAGGGCTTCTACACCACAAAGGGCTAAAAAGACTTCAATCCTAGACTCGACCCCTTGACGACTTGCTGGGTGAGTCAACAGGCCAACCCTTAGCGCGGGCAGCGGCGAATCACGGATCGCGCGCCTCTGGAGGCCGGTACCACTCAGGGAACTTGCCCTCCACCTCCTCGCCCTCCTGGTTTGACCAGCGAGCTTCACCTAACCAGTGGCTTACTGGCACGATCATGAATCATGACTCAGTTGTTCAGTGACCCTGGAAAAAAGGGAACCCTTTTTGGGGAAGACCTTTTTTAGTGGGGCAGCCACAAAAAAAAGAGAAAAAAGGGTGCCACTGAACAACTGAGATGACTAAACTTGGCTTCAAGATAACTCACGCCCCTCTGTATCTTTGGTTGTTAGCCTCCTAGATTTCAGGGAAACTCCCTATCACTCCCTCATTCTTTCCAGCAGCCCGTATTTCCAGGCAAACCACCAACCGCCCCTGAACAAATCGGCTGGCGTTTGAAAAACAATGGAAAGATGCTCCTAGGTCAACCTGCTGAGCCCGTCTGCACCTGCTGATGCCCACCCACGTGACTTCGAATTCGCGCCTGCTGAGATTCAACAGGGGACCCGGCACTGGGCACACAAACCCCGAAGTTCCGAAGCCCCGTCCTTGGCGGCGCGCTCCTTGTCCTTCTCGCACTTCCGCAGAAGGTCCTGTGAAGGGCGACTCCTTTCAACATGGAACCCCAAAAGCGCCACTTGTCCTTTTTTGGGTGCCTGCGTTTGTTTATTTTGTTTATTTAAAAACAAAAAACAAAACAAAAACAAAAAAACGCTGGGCGGAACTTTTCTCAAGAAGTTTGGGTACCAAAGGAAATGCCGCTTTGGCGTTCTGATCATCAGGAACTCATGGGGGCAGAAAATTGCGAACTCAACAAACATACAAACGCAAGTGAGAGCTCCGCCCAGGTGTTGCTTTTGAACGGAATCTTCGCATTCCCGGTCGGGCATTGGGAACAGCTACGGTGGTCAAATCCACTGACAGACCAGGTGGAAAATCGCCAAACGCTTTGTTGAACGGCTATGCCGTTCGTTTCGCAACACCCCGACCACCGTACTCATTGCAAGCAGGATTCCTACAAGGTATGACAGAGAGTGCCCTCACACCCACTTTTCCGCCGTGATTTGTTTCACACCGAAAATAAGGAGTCACAGCAACATAGTTGGCTTCCCCTTTGCTTCGATCTCCAACCCAAACAGGGGTAGGATGAAAAGATACTTCCGCCGTTTGGAAACTGGACGGAACAAAGCAAAAGCAGTAGGGGAGGGGGTGACCTCCTCGTCTTAAAGCTGCCAAAAGGTCCGAGAACCTCCTGGGCAAACAAGTATAGTTAAAAGCCATCTGCGCGAAATGTTCAACAAATTCGAACACGCAAACTAAGACATCCCATGAAATCCCAACCGCAAGGACCCAAAGGAGGCCAGAAAGAGAGAGAAAATGGAAGGCATAGGCTGCTCAAGAGGTCCAGTGCCCAAGGAATAAGCCAAGTGTGCACCCAAACCAGGCCAGTCGGTTTTCCTCACCAAGGGGTGACCTGTCACCTGGGCCATTTCTGCGAGCAGTGCCACGGGCTTGTGTGGTATCCAGATTCATTGATCGCGCGGGTGTCCCGACAACCCCCTATGGCTTTCCACATTTTCGGCCAACTTGGTTTTACGCTGTTTGTGGGGGATGTAATGCGCGATTTCGACCAAAGCTTCGACAACGAGCTTCCGTTCCTCGAACTTCCGGTTCAAGTCTCGCAGCTCCCCGTCTCGGTCCTCGCAATGCAGCGGGGTACAAGGGATATGGATAGAATGGGGTTGTGAGGTAAATTGAAACCAAGGTCAATCATGAAGGTTTGAGGAACCTATTGTTTCATTTGGGTGTGGCTCAAAGATGGGGGTCCAAAATGGAACCCTGGTAAATAGAAAGATAGACCAAAACCTGCGTTGGGACAATACGCATGTTCAAAGCTTGAAGACCCCACTAGGGAGGAAAAATTGCGGTTGGAGAACCAACTGATGTCTGGGTGCCCATGGTTTGCCGGACCCATGATTCTGCGACCATGGGTTTGACAATTGGGAAACATGAAGAGTCGGATCAATCCGATTCTTTCGGCAATGCCTCCGGTTCCCTAAAAGGCGGCTGGAACCCAGATAATCTGGAGAAAAATCCCTCAGACCATGGGAACTCAACTTTGGCGCTGTGAAGCCCCTAAAATCGGTACCCTGGAAACACACACCTATGCTCACATTGATCGCCCACATACCAACATGGTCAGCAGGCGCCATTGCTGGGTGCCCCGAACCAGACACAAATGCACTTGATGGGGCCCTTTCCTGATGCAAAGGAGAAACCGGGTGTTAAATTCGGGCTCTGGAAATTAAAAAACTGGCCACCCCCTTCAAGAAAATTAAACTATATTTACCGGGCGGCCCCGAATTGCTCTGTCGCCCAAATGGAAGAGCGACCCCGGATACATGAACCTATAGGCTCTGTTCCGCAAAGGTGAAGGTTTCCTTCAAACATGGGACGAGATAAGGAAGTGCCCATGGCTGTTCAGGAAACCTTCTGTATGGTTGGGCTGTTTTCTTAAGCGACCAGAACTTCACTCCTGACCTTTGGAAACCCGTGTTCCAGCTCTTTCGGCTCACGCGGTCCTCCGGGGCAGCCATCGAGAGCAACCGGCGACGTTTGAGCCCGCTGCGCACTCGCGGAAAAGGCGGCTGCAGGTTGCACCAAACAAACGTCACGACCCATACCGCAGGAAACCTGGTCAGGCCAATGAAAACCATTGGCCCCTGCGGTGTTCACTGCCCCAACAATGTCTGCATATATATATATACATATGCGTGTATCATCTACAAGTATTTGTTCAATCCGGGTCGCGAATCAATATATATATATATATATGATGAGCGAGTTGTCAAATGTTTCTTGAGTCAAATGGGGGGCGGGGCGGGGCAGAAAGGGGTTCAAGCCCCACTTTAAGCATCGTTCCAGCTTTGAAACCCCCGAACAGAGTTGGCAGCCAAAATGTCTCATTCCTACCGCAAAGGGGACCGTACACTTTCGAATTTACTAGCCCGCTAGCTTCTTATGGGCAGAATGTTGGCTGATGTAGCCACTCATCAAGGAAAACCACATGCGTACCTTTTGTCCACGTATATTAAATATATGCTGATATCCTTGCATAATGAGTACGAAGACAATTACAAAGGCACAGAGTGTAATGATTTCCCAGCCGTTAACTGCGTCCTTAAACAACCTCAGAAGATGAAACAACCAAGGCGGGAGGCACGAGCTCTCAAATCACAAGGTGTGAACATTCCTCGACAGGCGCGCACAATTATCCCAGGCGACTTCCGTGGAAAGCAAAATCATCTGGGTTGTGACTCTGAACCTTTGGAGGAAGCCCTGCTTGCCAAACAAAGTAGGAGAAAAACAGAAACAGGGAGGCTTCTTTGAATCTGACATTGTTTCTTAATATTCTATAAAATGTCCTCGGGTGGGGGGCTCCTATGTTATGCTGGTTCCTTTGGGGTCAAGGGTAGGGACATCTTCAGCTTACCACCGGGCCGAGTTGAGTTTCTCCTTTCAACTGATTACGTGGCCCTGACTTGCTGAAATAGCGGGAGTTCGAGCCGGTGGCTTCCGATAGTTGGCCACGAGAGTTTCAAGATATCTCTTTGAGGGAGAATGGTGGCCCGCGACCGGTGCTTCCAGCAAACAAGCAAATCCAGCTGGACAGGGCGCCGGTTGCAGAATTTAGTAAGGGTTGCAAGGGCTGGTTCCCAACCCTCTCATCGGCTCACAGTGTACTCAAGCATCAAAATATGCTGTGGGTCTGGCGGCATTTTTGAAGAGGGGGACGCTTACATCCCGTCCTTGTGATGTGGCAATGTCAAACTTGACCCATCAAAATGGTTGCAAGTTACCCGAACGCAAATCAACCAAGGCAACCTTCAAAGCTGGCAACCTTCCAAGCTGGCAACCTGGCTCGCAAAACAGTTTATCGGGTCCAGGCCTGCCGAAAGAAAAGGCGAAGGCCCCATCAACAAGCTGATCTGCCCGCGATTTGCGGGGCGCGGCGCCAGCCATGGCCCCCTCGGCCCCCGGACGTCTCGTTAAAGCGCCAGTCGCAAGGCGGCGCGTCAGCAACTGTCAGAAGGTGGGAGTCGAGTCAAAAAGGGTTTCCTTTTGTTGTCCGATTTCCTGCCCCTTCATCACGCGAACTTTCCGGGAAGCTGCTCTTTGAGCATCCCATCTTTCCTGCCTGTGGGCACCGCTGCTTGCAGTCGGCAAACGTGCAGAATTAAAAATCGCTCACGTTTGCCTGGCCGCCTGAGCCCACGCATCTCCTACCCCACACCGGTCCGCTGCGTCGCTTATTTTCTAGCTGCACTGCCCGCGTGCGAGTTTCACAGCGTGTCCGAGTCTTTCATTTGACTGAAGCGGTACTGGGCATTTTCGTCGGCGCAGATGCTTTGGTGCGGTAGTTTTCCGCGCAGTTCGGCGTGCGGGGCGGGCAATGCGCCATACTCAACTCTCCCGTACCGCTCGACGTTGGTTTCAATCAACTATACAAGGCGGAGTGAGCCAATTGGGGCTAGTTGCTAAGCTTCCCGTTATCCTCTTGGGCGCCTCCCAAAGGCTGGATAATACATAACACTGGGATCCAACGGATTCAGGCACCCAAGCGTCTAGGAGCAGGCAAAGGGGCTCCCTCTTTAGGCGGCTGTGGCTTATCTGGTACTTCTTTGAAAACTTCACCGGTTACCTTGTCAAACTTTCCTGGGGCATGCCATTTAGTAGCATTACCTTCTTCAGCAGGCTTCTAGCCCTTGCCTTTGACAGTTACACAATGAAGAATCTTTGGTCCTGGGATGTCTTTCAAATCATTCATGACATGCGTCAAATGCCTTCACAAACACATAAAGGACATTCCCTCCTTTTTTACCCCCTAATTACTCAAGCTCAGCTTATTTCCTGGCAAATGCACAGCACCCGATATGAGGATGGGGTCCAGAGAGTTTGCCTTGCCAATCCTTACTTACAATGCTTTCC